AATTTATACAATATACTGTGTTTTTCAACTATAAATATATATATATATATATATTGTAAATACATTATATAACTATTAATAAAAACACAGTATAAACTACAATATAATTAATATTAAACAATTTACTTTTTTTCATAATTAAAGATAATACTAATTAATAATATGACCAATTTCAGTTAGTCTTTTTATCTACAAATCTTAAAATTGATGTTTTATTTATTTTCTGTAATGTCAATGCTGTCAAAAATGAGAAGGAAAACTTTCTACATACTTTTTTTAGCATCACATTCTGGCTCACAAATAATTTCTAGTTTTTCATAAACTAAGAGAAATTTTCTTTTCTTCATAGAAACATTTCTCACAGAAGGGTTCATTTCTAACTAAAGTATACAGTAATTTGACAATCATAGTGGTGATTAGTAAGTTGGCAGAGTAGAACTGAAAGTTAATCAAGAAAGAGGGGAATGGTCTTCAAAAATAAAGGAAAGTGATAAATAGGCTTGTAATCCATGCAAATCATAAAACTAAATAACCCTTTCAGTTTTATCTCTTCCAAGTATTCAGTATCATATTTCTTATTAGTTGAACAATTAAGAATATTCATGTGTTTGCATAGCTACTGAAAATTTGTTCAGTATATCCTTGGAGTATGCTCATCATAACCATGAGATAATTTATAGAAATACGCATAAATTAAAATTGTTATGGAATTTTGCTCATTATAACTGTGAACTTGTTATAACAGAATTTGACTGTACAATACTCCAAATCAACAATGAAAAATAACATTAAAAATTAATGTAGATCTAGAAAAACTTCAAATAAGATTCAAAACCAACAGCATTTATTCTCAAAATGTTTAATATTTATTTATTTTTCATTTAATTAATAAACAGAATATTTATACAAAGTAAGATTTCAATTTTAATTACTAATAAATCCATTAGCCAGATTATTATAAAAATATATATATGGTAACCTGATAAATATATACTTGTTAAATTTAAGATAACAGAATATCTTTCACTTGCTCAATACTACAGATATTTGTAACTATGTCATTCATATTAATATATAGTTGAACCTGTATCTGAAACTTGTTTATCTCGAAAACATCTTTATCTCAAAATTTATTTTTTCCTCCACATTTCCAGCCTAAATTCAATATATTTTCCATGTTTATCTCAAATAATTTTCTCCCAAAACCTCTATATCTCAAATTATGGACTGAAGTGTCAATGTTACAAATTCAAAGCTCAGAGTCTACATTTTGATAGCATAAATTGCAGTTGAGACAGTGGCATGTTACATATGGACAAAAAAAGGCCACCACCTATAGGGACCTCAAACCAATCTTTTATAAGAAAGTATTTCCCCAAAAACTTCCTCCAAAGAAAAATGTCTGAAGTCAACACTGTACATAGGACTCCCTGGAGCTATACCACACCACTGACTTGAGAAACATCTCTTGCAATACAGTGCATAGTTGTAATTAATGCTGCTTTTCATTGATTGACTACAAGTTTGGTTGAGTCTTATTGTTGAAGAAAGTCAGGCATCAGAGACTATTGACAAATTATTGCTGTTAAAGTATATCAAAAATGTTTTATTTATACCTAATACAGGTACATACTTTATTTACTATTGTTTTAATAAAATATCATACAGTCGACCCCCCTATAACGTGGTAGATATGTTCCACTTTATAAGAATTTCACGTTGTAGGAATCCTTAAATACGTAAGCCAATCACAGCCCGTCACATGTGCAGTTTACAGACTACGGCTGTTTGAAAGTTTTCTTCCATAAAATTAATCGATTATAGACTAATTTGACTCAACACTTCCAAATTACGTATAATTTTTTGGGAATAATCCATATAAACTATGCTATAAATGAAAAATTGTAGGATTGCTTACCGAGTGTGCACCATTCGACGACGCCATTACTTAAGCTTGTTTTCGTCGCAGAGCAGCGCACCAAACGGTGGCCGCATTTTCTGATAAGTTATTTTTCTGTGAAAAATTTGTTGAACTTTGGAATCATCGTTAATAGAAATAATTTTTATGGCCGTTGAATAAGAAATGTTTTTTTCACAAGAAATGTATAAAATTACAGTACTGTATTAGACTTACAGTACCTAATTTAGGCCTATATACTGTACAGACGATAGTACACTCAACTTACCTGCCTAAAATCTCTGTAGCAAAAATTTTAGATAACGTAAAAATTATAAAATTACAGTACTGTATTAACTTACAAATATATATAATTTATATATACAAACCTATATTTATATATATATAAACCTAATTAATATATAATTATATATACAGTACCTAATTTATATATAATTTAAATATAATACTGTACAGACTATAGTAAACTCAACTTGCCTGCCTAAAATCTCCATAGCGTGGCGCTGAACGGCAGAAAGTAGTTTGGCTGCTCGTCCACTATTACAATGACGTTTTACCGCATTTTAAGAGTCTCTTTTAGCGTCCTTATATGAATACGGTCGCAATTTTTTCGCCGTGATATACGAATCTGCATTATTTGAACCCGCGCTATAGGGGGTCTACTGTACCTCCAATCAAATCTATCACTGTTTACTGTGTAGTGACCTCTATATCTCAATATTTTTCTTGTTCCTGTGAGATTTGAGATAGACATGCTCAACTGTATATAAAAAATATCTGGATTTTTCCATAGATAAATTCAATAACTTAAGAGATCAAGTTTATTTCACCAAGTTTTATTGAAATAAATTTGAGCATTAATAAATATTTGGGAAACTCTTTCCTTGGAATCTGTTTATTCAGGAATTTTTAAATACAGAAGTTTAAGTCAAACATGCTGCTGGAAGTAGTGTTACCACCCGTTCAGTTTTCACCCGGACAGTCTGGGAATTGACTCACTGTCCGGATGAACTATTAATTTTGTCCAGGAATTTCATAGAAATTGTAAAATTACGATGAAACAAAATTCTTGCAAATATTTTTACAAATTTACACTATTTTAACAGAGAAAGAACTCACACTCACTGAAACCTGAAACTCATCTGCAATTCTGCCATGTTAATCCGTTTATGCCAACGTGTGGTGCGCAACCTGTCGACCTTTGACCTTTTTTTTCTTCTTTTTGCGTGTACGATCATACATGTCTATGAGCTAAGTTATCTGTATCTTTTCTTTCTTAATTTAGGTTATTTACGTTACTCCTATGCAAGTCCCCAGTCCCTAATTGTAACTGATTTAGAACAGACATGCACGTTATTCTTCGCATTGTAGAATGACATTGCGCAAGCGTCAAAAACTTCTGTTCAAACAAACCTGACCTGCTGTCCAGGTTAGCAATTTTGAAAAGGTGGCAACACTAGCTGGAAGTCTTTATAAAATAAAAAGAAAATAAGAATGCAAAAATATAGATGATTTTATATAAAAAATAATTAATAGCTTTGAAGTTTTGTTGTGTCATTCTCTCCTGTTTTCAACAAAAAAATTATATATCACAAGCTGTATAATGATTGGCTAAATGTTTGTTTATATAATTATCTCTAAAAATATAATCTGGACAATTTATCTCTGTGATAATTTTGAAAGATAAATATATTTAATTGTCTTATATCTCTATACTCTAAAGAAACAAAACGAATCATTGCAAAAAATAACAATGAATTATCAATAATACTTGCTTCAATCATTTTTAATCTAAAAAATATATTAAAAACATTGTTATTCTGGATATATCTTTACAAGTGCATAAAAACCTAATACTCTTTACAGATATATAAAAATGTACCAAGATCAAAAAGGCTATTCAAAATATAAGTAATTTAATCAATAGAGATAATGACAAATTTTTATTTCACTGAGATAAATGATAATATGATCAAATAAGAAATTAATTATACATAATTATTTTACTGAGGATAATATATAAACTATATAAAAATTTTCTTTATTAATAATCTTCAAAAAGTGGCAATAGCAGAAGTACATTGAATTCTATGGGAAATACTTTGGAAAAATACAGTCACTATGCCTAGAAGTGGTTATAATTAGGGAAAAACTAGTCTCTATTTGTTTTAATAAGCTCTCATATATATATATATATTGATATAACATTTTTTATTTTACTTTTACTATTACATGCTGTTAAAAAATATTTATATATAATATCAAAATATTGACATATTCCTTAAATTAATTAATACTTATTTATAATACTCAAATAAAACTTATTTTATGAAATATTAGAAAATTGCCTTACAGCATTTGAATTTAATTAAAGACAAATGATAATTTTTTTTTTCCTGAACAATGTTCTGAATGATTTTAAAATCCAAATATAAAATTGTAATTACCATGCTCTTCTTTCTGCTAATCCTTTCCATAAACTATCTGTTATAACTCTTCGTTCAATTAATTTCTTCCATAACATGCCTTCCATTATTACTCTATACCATTCTTTACATACTAATTCAGCTGCACAAAGAGATTTTGCATCCAAATATGACAATATATTTTCAGCAACATGATCTAAGCCATTTTCTATAAAAAAGTAAATTACTGTTATAGAAATAATCCTAATAAAAATGAAAGAAATTACAAAAAAGTATTATATTTCTATTTTCAGATCAAACTTTCTTTATTAAAACTTTGATAAGTTTTTAAAGAAGAAATATTATGTACCTCTGAAACCTTTAACCGATGTGAAAACAATTTTCATTTTTTTTTTAAAAAAACCGATTGTGAAAACAATTTTCATTTCTTTTTTTTTTTTTTAAATGAAAATTGTTTTCACATCGGTTAAAGATTTCGGAGGTACGTAATATTTAGTAAACTCCGGTGTGTAATTGTACGTTATTATTAAAGAAGAAATTATTACAAATTCTGAAATGTATTCTTATAAAGTTTTTACAAGATAAAATATGATTTTCTAATTTTCCACTACATTTAATATTTAAATTTAATAAATTTCCAACATAATGAAAGCATTATAATACTCAAAAAATTATTTCTTAAATGCAATGTATTTACATTTAGTAAAAATGTTGGATTTATTCTTTTTTTTTCTACAAAAATTATAAAAAATTTAACATATTATATAAAATATAAAGATGCTTACTTGGAAGTAGAGAGATAAAATCCCTTTGTAACATAGGTCTAAGAAATGAACTAACATGACTATGCTGATAATGGGACATTTTAGACAATACCAATTCCACAAAAGCAGTTTGATCGTGTTCACCCCATTTTTCAAAAAATTTTACACATAGATCTCTTTCTTTTGTAAACTGAGCTGATGATTCTTTTCTAGGAGTTTCATATAATACAGTCATTGGAACCTGCTAAATAAAAGAAAACAATAATTTTATTAAAAAAAAAGAAATAAATTAATCATAAAGAATGGAGTTAATACTGTTATACATAAGTCTATATATACATTCATATTAATATATTATTAAGAATGGAGTTAATACTGTTATACGTAAGTCTACATACACATTCATATTCAAATAATAAATAACTTCAATGTACTTTTAAAAATGCTTTTATTGGTCATGTTTCAAGATTGGAGTGGAAATAATCAGGTTGGAACACCTCTAAAACATCATTAAAATGCATTGTCATTGGATTTAGGAATGTTCAAACTTTAGGCCTTCTACCTTAATTAGATGTGAATGAAATTTCAAGATTTGAGGACTTGATACAAAGCAAGTTAAATAAAAGCATTTGATAAATATAATCATCCAATCCATAGATAGTATAAAAAATAAAATAACCAGCAGAATATGTTCTGTTAAAATGTGCAAGTTCATGCAAAATGTAAAGACTAAATATAGCAGTAGCATTGCATTGTTTCTGTTGAAGTTTAATCAGAAGATAATGTGTTATTGTTTTACTGTATAACATTGACAATGATAATGCTACAAAGGTGCCATATAGTCAATATTGTAAAAAGAAAAATTATTGAAGACTAAATATAAGCTAGTTGCAGACAGCTGTGTCTGGCACAACACATCACATCCAGGCTTTGATAGAATTTCAAAGAGCAGGATATGTTGAATGTCAACCAGAAAATGGACTTCCAAGAATTACAACCCCTCAACAGGACCACTATTTTACATTTACAGTGCATTGTAACAAAAAAAGTCTGATGGGCATCTCACTGAAGAGCTGCCTAGCTACTGATGTTATAGTTTCAAGATAAACTGGTTACAGAAGATTTCAGGCAAACACCCAGTGTGCTGAGTTCCAATGAACCAAGCAAATAAGAGCAGATTTAAGAGAGTATCAAAAACATTGAATTTTGAATAAATGGAGCAATATTCTATTCATTGATGAGTGAGATCAGAGGTGGCAAACATGTGGCATGTAAGGAAAAATCATCTGGCACGTAACATATCATACAATTTTGATTTATTATCTGTCTTTTTCAATCATCCTTTCAATTTATCATTCAATCAGCTTTTTTACATTTATTCTAATTAAAGCATATTCACTAAATTTCTTTAAATATCGTTATTTGAATGCATAAACATCTTTAAAGCTAAGTATTCTTACTATATGGCATGCAGGCTTAAAAAGGTTTTCCACCTCTAGTCTAGATACAGTATATTTCACAGAATGATTCTTGTCAGATTAGAATCTGGAGAGACTAGGAAACTTGTTACAATCCTATGAACATTATTGAAAGTAACCATTTTGCAAACAGTGGTATCATGGTCTAGAGTGGCATAATGCCTTAATGCAGTGTTTTCCAATTTGTGGAGTGCACCTACCTAGTGGGGCATGAGACTATTGCAAGGGAGTGCAAGGGTATGCAGCTTTTACCAAATTATCATTTTTTAATACAAACAAACAAAAAAAAGTCAAACTGATGTCAAAAAAATGAATCAGAAAAACAGTTATGTCTAATTCACAACCCTCATCTGAATGACTCAGGTACAAATGATAAAAAATCCATCCACACTCTTGCCGAAATGTCTCAACAAGAGTTGAACCCAGGCAAACAATATACATTATTTAATAAGGTATATTGTTTTGTAGGCCATTAAATAAATTATAAAAACAGTATTTGTGAAATTAGATTGTTATGAAAATTGAGAGGCACAACAATTTTTTTCTGAAAAAGTGGTACAAAAAGACCACTGTAAACCATTGCCTTAATGGGTACACTAAACATCACATTTTTGCAAGAATGCCATTACTGAAAGAATGTAAAGAGACAAGATTTTGGAACCCCATGTGAGACTTCTGTAGAAATGTGGTGTAGATTTCATTTATGTAGGTGCCCACATTCTGTAGAAATGTGGGCACCTACATAAATAGAGCTTCACTAATCAATGACTTTCTTAATAAAAATAATGAATGGAATGGTCAGCAAAATCTCCAGACCTAAATCCCATAAAACATGGAATGGATAGTATGCTCAAGAGAGACAAGATGTTCTTGGTTCAAGAATGGACTTCACTTCAGACAGAACTGACAAGTAATGTTAAAATCAGCATAAGCAATCACTATGCAGAGTGTATATGCATGCAAGGAACAACCACATCATATTAATCATATTCTGTGTAAAAAAATTTACAACAAAGTTTAAGTGCTTATTGTTGTTTCTGATCTGATGTAATTTATATTAAATTTTTGCTTTTCAATTGTTTTCTTGCATAAAGAATACAATGTTTTGCTTGTATGTTGTTCCATACTGTTCTATTCAGTAGTTCCTAAAATTTAGACCAAATTAATGTTTATACATTTGCAATATATTATTCACACTGGAATTGGCAACTCAAATAGTCACTTTTGTACTATATCTACAAATAAAAAAAATGTGTTTAATAGTAATCTAGATTCAAAGACACAAGCACAAATTAACTTAAAATTTGAGAAATCTAGAAAGACAGAATGAAAATTTGTTTCAATATCAATCATCATTAAAAAATCAAATTTTTGATATAATTATATTTTCCTGTTTTTATTATTGTCTTAACTCATTGAGATAATTCTACTTTAACCCAGTTTCATCATATAAAACAAATTTTCCCTAGGCTAAGAAAAAACACTTAGCCTGAAGAAAGATTGGAAAATAATTAGTACAAAAAAATTATAATTTTACATATTGACTAAATATTTTATAATTTGCTTATTTTTGTAGAAAAATTTTTCAATGAAATTTCCAAAATGTCCTATTAAAGACCACATGTTGTTTTACAAAAATGTTGATTTAAAATTATAATTTATAATTATCATCTAAAAATATAAAAACAGATTAAGCATTTAAATAAATTTAATAAAACCTAAAGAACTTTTTAATCTGAGCATTTATAAGAATCTCTGTAATAAAAAGAAAATTTTTATTTGTTATAAAATGCAAATTAAATAATCAGTGTACAGAATTGAAAATGTGTAATTATAAAATAGTTTGCGATATTAAATAAAATTTGAAAATAGACGAAAAATCTAGTTTTTATCTTCAAAAACAAAAATACAAAATGTTAATACATAAAATTTTTTTATTGTTTTAACTAAAACAAAAAAGTTCTTCTGCTCTTCCTGTCAATTGTGATTCAGAATCATTAAAGATTAGAGTAACTAAAACTGGCTGAACAACTTTTATTCGAGTGATATGGGTCATAGCTACTGAGGCAAGTTTATAGCATAATTACTCTAAGGTTAATGCAAAATATTTAAGAATTAAAGTATTTATGGTACACAAATTTATATATTTAAACATTATTACATAAAACTGCACTTTCTTGGTGGAAATTGCAAAATTATTTTTATCATGAATTAAAAATTTTTAAAGTGTACATTCAGGTTAAAACTATTTACATAATTCTGAAACAAAGTTCAAGTTTCAATAAACTTATTTAAAATTCTAAAAAGAATTATACAACCCAAATTTCAATTTTATTACTTAGTAGTAAATTAGAGCAAAAATTGAAATAGCTTTTATATGTAGGAAAATTATACTTTGTAAAATATTTTTTTAAAAATATATTTAATAATGTTCATTAAAAGGCTTGAATAAAAGATTTCAAGTGAAAGTTGTAGCATCATTATAACAAAATTAAACTTTCATGTTATTTGTTCTTTTGAGCAATAACCTATGTCAAAAGCTCAACAAAGAAAAAAAATATCTGCAGCAGCCTTATGCTATATATAGTGGTACCTCATACTTTGAATGGCTAACTTTGAATGCTTGAATTCAAACTGTGTTTGCAGTGAAAAAATGTGCTCAAAGCATAAACATAATCTGTTATGTGTCCAAGTCATCTCTTGCTCTTGCATAATGCTTATATGTTTTCAGTGTGCTTTTTTCACTTTATTTTTGGTGTGTTTGGTTATACAGTAGAACGTCGATTTTCCGAATCAATTGGGGACTGGGGTTGTTCGTATAACTGATATTTCGGATAACCGATTTATGTATAAAAAAATAGTTTAACGTATCCGATGTTGAAATTTTTCTCCGTTGCGTGTCGCTTTGCGTTGAATTTTCGTCAATGTTAAGCCTAACAAAGACTATTGTATCGTTAAAAATTATTTTTTTATTTTGTACAAACAAAATAAATATATTGAAAAATATAAAAACAATAAAAAATTATACTTCAGATGTTAATTTAGTATCAAAAACGTAAAATATTTGAGTAGCCCAAGACATAGCCAAAGATTGAAGCTCCACAGCACTGGCAAACATTTAAATTTGCCGACTGGAAATCTTTCGGATGATTGACTTTCAGAAAATCGATGCTCTACTGTATATACTAGTATTATGTGTTACTCATCAATTTTTAACAATTTCTCCCTGCAATTCTTCTTTGTCAACAACTTTTGGGTGCCCCCATACATTTTGTATCATTTCGTTCAAAATTTCCCAAAAAAAACTCATCATGTTTGAAGTTTAGGGACATCTCCTTATACATTACAGATTTTTTACTGTTTGTATGGCATTATATCCTTTGCAAAACTCAAAGCATAATATACCTGATATGCTTTTATCTGAAAACATTACAACTTGAGTTTATTCAAACAAGATGGGAAGTAGAGAGTTTAAAGTAAGTTTCTAAACAAAAAATAAAATCTCATATTATCTAAAATATGTTAAATTTCACAACTGTTATAAATCAAACATCTATCTTAAGATGTGGAAGTCCACAGTGTGAGACCAATAAATGCAGTTTTCATTTTCTTATACAGTATTGATATATTTTATTTATGGTTTTCATGTTTTAATTTATTATTAAAGCATTTAACTGTTATTTTTACATGAAATTATGTGTATTTGCTGTTTTAAGTTTATTGAAATGGGTATTGTTTAGGTCTGAGAATGAATTAATTCACTTTC